AATCAGAACCTTGGACAGTACATAGTTTTCATCCATTTTATAGTTGCAAACAAATCGCTGCCAGTCTCCCGATATAAGTTATCAGAACATCATTCTTGTTAACATGCACTTACCGGAGGCCCAGGAGGCCCTGGAAGACCACTGTCACCTTTCTGGCCAGCAGGTCCCTGTTACAAAAAAAAAAAAAAAAAAATGAATGTAAGTAGAGAACAAAGTAATTTAATGGACTTCACTCAAAAATTAAAATGTTAAAAGGAGAAGCACTTACAGAGGAGCCTTTGTTACCCTTGGGACCTTGAGGACCCTAGAAAATGCAGACAAAAGCCACAGATTAAAAATCTAGAGCATTTGTACCTTTTTGTTATACTCACAGCTTAACTGTAACTTATAAGATTGCTTTGTCCAGTACTTACAGGTAAGCCTGGAGGACCAGGTGGGCCAATGGGACCAGCGGGACCTGGAATTCCCTAGAGGGAGAATGATCTGATTTAATGAGTTTTCCTCAGCAATTCCATTTCCATGCTTTGCATAAAAACACGCATTCCAAAAAGTAGAGATTAAAAAACCCCTAAGAATAGCCTAAAATTTTCCATTGTGAAGCTAAGAAATAGCTTTTATAAAGTAATCTGAATTTTTCCACCTAGTGTACTGTCTATAGATATTGAGATACTAAATAAATATCTATGGTATGAAGGTTAGGTACATATATATTTTATATCCCTGCAGCACTCAGAATAAACTTGCATGTGAAGAGGATTCAAAACACGGTTGTGCCAATACTAAACTATGATTGTTATGATTTTAATAATTCACATTTTTTAATGTATTTACTCTAATGTCAAATCAACATCATTTGAAAATACCACTGATTAAAACAAACTCCAATAAAGATGCTCTAAAGTACTTCTTTGGTCATGTTTAAAGAAATACGTGAAGTTGTGTGTGTGTGTGTGTGTGTGTGTGATTGGAAGAGAGAAAGAAGAAGCATTCATGCTTTTACTCACCCCATCCCCCTTTGCTCCTGGAGACCCTTGAGTTCCGGGGAGTCCTCTGTCACCCTTCTCCCCTTGCTCTCCTGGAGGACCGATCAAGCCAATTAAACCAGGATGGCCCTTTGGAAGAGGGGGGAAAAATTTAGTAGTACATAAATTAGAGCCATTAGTAAACTCTAGTCATAAAATATTTGCACATTAAATTCATGAAATAAAAATTTTAAATGTATATAAAATACATTTAAATAACCTTTCTAAATGGAATGTAAAGTTAAGATCCTCCCTCTCTTCTTGCTTAACAGGATTTTTACTACTTAACATTAAGTGCAACCTCTGTTAGGGGTTTGGTATGTTAT